AACTGTCAGAGTTAAGGATTGTAGCTGGTTGTATGGTGACTGTCAAAGTTTATCATCACGGGGAACTGTCATCTATTGTGGATGGTGGATGGATAGGGTCAACTGTCAGAGTGTAATGGACTATGAATGGTCGTGGTGGTCTGTCAAAGTTTATCATCACGGGGAACTGTCATCTAATGTGGATGGTGGATGGATAGGGTCAACTGTCAGAGTGTAATGGACTATGAATGGTCGTGGTGGTCTGTCAAAGTTTATCATCACGGGGAACTGTCATCTAATGTGGATGGTGGATGGATTGGGTCAACTGTCAGAGTTAAGGATTGTAGCTGGTTGTATGGTGACTGTCAAAGTTTATCATCACGGGGAACTGTCATCTAATGTGGATGGTGGATGGATTGGGTCAACTGTCAGAGTTAAGGATTGTAGCTGGTTGTATGGTGACTGTCAAAGTTTATCATCACGGGGAACTGTCATCTAATGTGGATGGTGGATGGATTGGGTCAACTGTCAGAGTTAAGGATTGTAGCTGGTTGTATGGTGACTGTCAAAGTTTATCATCACGGGGAACTGTCATCTAATGTGGATGGTGGATGGATTGGGTCAACTGTCAGAGTTAAGGATTGTAGCTGGTTGTATGGTGACTGTCAAAGTTTATCATCACGGGGAACTGTCATCTATTGTGGATGGTGGATGGATTGGGTCAACTGTCAGAGTTAAGGATTGTAGCTGGTTGTATGGTGACTGTCAAAGTTTATCATCACGGGGAACTGTCATCTAATGTGGATGGTGGATGGATTGGGTCAACTGTCAGAGTTAAGGATTGTAGCTGGTTGTATGGTGACTGTCAAAGTTTATCATCACGGGGAACTGTCATCTAATGTGGATGGTGGATGGATTGGGTCAACTGTCAGAGTTAAGGATTGTAGCTGGTTGTATGGTGACTGTCAAAGTTTATCATCACGGGGAACTGTCATCTAATGTGGATGGTGGATGGATAGGGTCAACTGTCAGAGTTAAGGATTGTAGCTGGTTGTATGGTGACTGTCAAAGTTTATCATCACGGGGAACTGTCATCTATTGTGGATGGTGGATGGATTGGGTCAACTGTCAGAGTGTAATGGATTTTGGCTGGTCCGTGGTGGCCTGGCAAAGTTTATCATCACGGGGAACTGTCATCTAATGTGGATGGTGGATGGATTGGGTCAACTGTCAGAGTTAAGGATTGTAGCTGGTTGTATGGTGACTGTCAAAGTTTATCATCACGGGGAACTGTCATCTAATGTGGATGGTGGATGGATTGGGTCAACTGTCAGAGTTAAGGATTGTAGCTGGTTGTATGGTGACTGTCAAAGTTTATCATCACGGGGAACTGTCATCTAATGTGGATGGTGGATGGATTGGGTCAACTGTCAGAGTTAAGGATTGTAGCTGGTTGTATGGTGACTGTCAAAGTTTATCATCACGGGGAACTGTCATCTATTGTGGATGGTGGATGGATTGGGTCAACTCTCAGAGTGTAATGGATTTTGGCTGGTCCGTGGTGGCCTGGCAAAGTTTATCATCACGGGGAACTGTCATCTATTGTGGATGGTGGATGGATAGGGTCAACTGTCAGAGTGTAATGGATTTTGGCTGGTCCGTGGTGGCCTGGCAAAGTTTATCATCACGGTGAACCGTCATCTTATGTGGATGGTGGATGGAAGGACGCGGTGGTGTTAGTTATCTGGTCGGTCGTTAGATGGCGCGGCTGAACGCTGAGGAATGCGCGGAGAAACTCCAAGGCCGAAGGACATGATCAGGCATCCTGCCATCCTACCCGGCGCGCCACGAAATCCCTCAAACTCCGCGGCTTTATTGAGCGGAAGTCTGTATGATGCGTAGGTATTTTGTCTTTTTATTTGATTTAATATTTTATATTACAACTACTCTTTTTATTAGAGTGGAACACACTCTTGTACGTAAAAAACACAAATGAATTGTAATTAATTTGAATTGAAAATTCTAGTATAACTACGAATTGATTAGGTATGATTATGCTAGGTATTTGTCATGATAAATAGAAGAATATACTAGAATAGAATAGAATAAATTTATAGCCGAAAACATTATAAAAATGTACAGACTAATGTCAATGTAAAAATATATAACAAATATATAATTGTTTAGAAAAAGTCTGTGGATATTTCTTTCTTCTTAGGCTAAAACTAACCAATACTGATAGTACCGTAGCTATCAAAAATAATTTGTTAAGTTTTCTTAATCAATAATGATATCACAGAAAGTCAACAGTTAAACAATAAAATAGAGAACAAAATCACTAAAAAGTTTGATTAGTTTGTTGTTTAGGGATACTAATGGCACGCTTGCGTCAACTACTGCCAATGCAGATCCTTGTTCCGCGCGACTTTATGGAGAGCGAAAAATTATCCCGGACTTTATGGAGAGTGAATAATTATCCCGGACTTTATGGAGAGCGAAAAATTATCCCGGACTTTATGGAGAAAGAAAAATTATCCCGGACTTTATGGAGAGCGAAAAATTATCCCGGACTTTATGGAGAGTGAAAAATTATCCCGGACTTTATGGAGAGCGAATAATTATCCCGGACTTTATGGAGAGCGAATAATTATACCGGACTTTATGAAGAGTGAAAAATTATCCCGGACTTTATGGAGAGCGAATAATTATCCCGGACTTTATGGAGAGCGAATAATTATACCGGACTTTATGGAGAGCGAAAAATTATCCCGGACTTTATGGAGAGCGAATAATTATCCCGGACTTTATGGAGAGCGAATAATTATACCGGACTTTATGGAGAGCGAAAAATTATCCCGGACTTTATGAAGAGTGAAAAATTATCCCGGACTTTATGGAGAGCGAATAATTATCCCGGAATTTATGGAGAGCGATATCCCGGACTTTATGGAGAGCGAATAATCATCCCGGACTTTATGGAGAGCGAATAATTATCCCAGACTTAATGGAGAGCGAATAATTGTCCCGGACTTTATGGAGAGCGAAAAATTATCCCGGACTTTATGGAGAGTGAAAAATTATCCCGGACTTTATGGAGAGCGAATAATTATCCCGGACTTTATCGAGAGCGATATCCCGGGCTTTATGGAGAGCGAATAATCATCCCGGACTTTATGGAGAGCGAATAATTATCCCGGACTTTATGGAGAGCGAATAATTATCCCGGACTTTTTGGAGAGCGAATAATTATCCCGGACTTTTTGGAGAGCGATCGATATCCCGGACTTTATGGAGAGCGAATAACTTATTTTATTTATATAATTTTTAGTCACTCCGTTATTTTGTTGATAGTAATTGTTATTGGTGTACCTATTCAATTAAATACGCAACCGATTTTTAGAAAATCTCACAGGGCAAATCAAAAATGTCACACAAAAATTGAAGCCGCTCAACTTTTAACATAATAAATTAAATATCCCAACTTTTATGGTGTAGGCCCTAAGGTTATGAAAATTGTCCAAAATATGAAATAGGACAGTACTACATAAAACCCAAATGAACTTGATATATTTTGTTTATACTACTGTAAACACATTACACATTTAAATCAACACTTAGAACATATAGGCCTATATAAAATATATGTAAAGCAATAATGAAGTTGTTGTTTCTTTTCCTAGAAATTTATAATATAAAACGGAAAACCTTTATAATTTTCTATGTTGAAAAATCTCTTCATCGGAATAACATTTAATTATGCAACGTATAACTTTTAGCACATTTTATTATCTTTGTAACCAATAGAATCAGAAAATAAATGTACTTTCAAGTTTTTTCTTTCCCTTTGAAGCCAAATGTAGGCCTAAGCAATTTTGTCATAAAATGTTGATCATGCAAAAATATATGTTGTAGTGCACAAACTGCGTTTCCTATTAGAGGGCGAATCTAGATTTGATCTGGTTTATGAATTGAATTGACTAGATCGTTGTTTTGTTTGTTCCAAATATTGAAAATGGCATGAAATTGGCATGTGTATGAAAATTAAAAATGTTTAAATTTTTTCAGGATTTATCCTCTAAGCTTTGGCTCTGGATGTTTTTCATCGTCGCTTCTATATTATTCTTATGGATACAGTTAATATTATAATTGCCAAATAATTTATATATAAACCACGTGTTTGAAAATGTTTTGTCGGTGCTTTATTAAAATGGTGGTATTTTAGAGTTAATATACCTATTGTATGTATATAGCAAAATCTATAGAAACAAATTATTCTTTTTTAAAGTTCTCTTCCCATTGCGAAGTATGGCGGCTAGTAGGCCTAGTTGATAAAATAATAACAAAATAGGTTAACAATGAGTTTTTATGGAACGCGATTATTTTATATAAGCGCTCTCTTCTGCAACATAAACGATTTTACTTCTAAGTTACAATAACTGACACCGACACCTCTAAATCCAAAAGGTGTCAACCTGTACTTCTATTTCGTAAGCACGGACGTGGATCATTAGAGGTCATAAGATGCTGAATCTATTAGATTGCAATCTCCCCGTCAGGAATGTACCTTCCGCTCTCTTTCCTCTTCCAAAATTACTATTTCGGAATGCGGCCGGGAATGTACCTCTAGACCACTCTCTATATTTCTTGCCCACCACATCATAACCATTCATGACTGGCGCCGAGGAAATCCCGCAGTCGAAATTCTTCAAGCCGCTCTTTACGAATCAATAAGGCCGAAAAAATGCTGCCTTTGGAGATTCGGTGCGATCGTCGTGTGACGCGTTGAGACTATCGGTCTGGTTTTTGCTCGTACTTCTGGAATGTCACGTTGAATGATTAAATGTAGTGGGGAAGAGGTATGTTATGCGAGTGGACCTGGAACGAGGCTAGAGGACGAATACGGCCGACGCGCTACTTGTGGAATGTAGCCTCGCCTCCAGGTCCGTTCAGGAATGCAGCCGGTTAACTCCGTTGTCCCCCACCGCAGCGCTAGCGTCGTGCGGCGCACGGTAGCACAAGCACAGTCAAACCAAACGCGCTGTGCCGGGAGAAGGAAACGGCTGTGATTTTTGCAGTGAAAAATGCGGTTGTTTCGGTCCTGAAGTGTTTCGTCCGTCAAAGTGTTGTGGATCCCTAACCTTACAGTGCTAGATCAGCAGATAGGAGAGAGAAAGAGTGCTAAGTGTTTGTAACCCGGATTTGTGCAGTGATATTGTTATGGAGTGTTTTTTACTGATAAGGCCGAGTGTTTTGTAATTAGTGTTGTGCCATTTTGGATTACCTGTGATACTTATACAGCATGCAGTTCGGACTGACGCGATTCTACTCTTAGGATTGACATAAAGGTGAGCGAATATATTTTGTTTTCAGATTTTTAATGAAAATCGCCGAGCACATAAAGATCTATGTCACCAAAGTTTGATCATTGACTACGTGTCGGATGTTTAAATGTAAAACCATGGATTGAAGGAGTCTTAATCTATGGTTAAAACGCCGATTAGCTCTATTCTGAAAGTGTTACATTGTTTACTGTTGGTTCGTAACTTCTAGGAATGCTGTATCAACATGTTTTATTGCATGCCTCGTCGCTCTAACACGCTGACTTGATTGGTTATCTTTCAACGACGCTTGTTGTCACAACTTTGGCATTTTTGGTGTGGCTGTTATCTATCATTTGCAACAACATGACGTGTTGATTGGGGCGTGTTGATTACACCGATGTCATTCGAATGTTAAAGTACCGGTATGGTTATTCTTATTAACTAAACTAAGTTACTATTACTTACTGTAGTTGTTTTAAGCTACTGACTTATATTTTTACAACACGAACACGTCTATAGTTGTACGAAAATGGGCATTCCGTTCAGGTTTCAGTGTTGAGGGCGTATTCCGTGACGAATGAAACAACCAGTGTCCCAGTGTAATGTCTGAGATTGATTGATTGTATTCAATTTTTGATATGGTTACTAACTTAACTGTCACGGAATTTAAGTAGGGATACATTAAAATTCACTAGTTGAAATGCTGTGTTGTTCTGCGATGAGACAAGTCAGGAAATGTTTGACTAAAGAGAAAGTTCCTGTATTTAAAGAAGACTTTTTAGAGCAAGGTTTTGTTACGGAAAGATTTTGTTTTCCTAGGAAATTAACGACAAAGGGGAAGGAAAGAGCGGATATGAGTTTCTAGGCGTGAGTCATAGAATATTGACCAAACTGTGTGATACCAGTACATTGACACAAACACACTTTATACACCAACGACCAACAACTCATTTAGCGATAATGTCTGAGCAGCTTAGACATCTTCTTCGTTGAAAATAGACCTGTCAAGTCAAACCAACAGGTAAAGAATCCTGTTATTAATGTGTTACATGTGTTAGTGACGTGTTTTTGTCAGCTAGTTGTTGACTAAATGTTTCTTTCTTATTTTTGCACACATTTTACGATTGGTCTTAACACTCAGTTTATTTACAGTAGGTGGGCCTAAAAAAAACAGTGGTAGGCTACCACCGGAGTTAAAGGCGGCCGTGGTAATAACTGATGACATGCAATTAGTACAAAATGTTTAAGTATAAGATACAACAATTACAAATACATATGCCTATTACAAATATACAAAACAAATACCAGTGAACAACAAATACGCCCACATAAACCGGAGAGAGATAACCTTAAAATTGTTTTCAGCTCAGACAAGTCAATGAAGGAATATGTTTAATCTACGGCTTAGATTACAGAATGCAAGGCGGCCAAGATAGGAATACTGATCATAAACAATTTACTCCCGACAGTTTGCCGGGAAAAACAGCAATCTATAGTTAATGGCGTTCAGGTAGAAACTTGTTTAATTAACAGGAAATATTTTAATCAGCGCAACCTTTAGAAGGATCGCTTGTCGCATATGCGGTAGAATGTCGTCGATGTCTTACGTATCATTAAACCTATGCGGCATTTGACATTTTGATTACTGCAGAGATCTTGTAATTAATACTGCGTGCTATGACCTATTACTGCAACTAGGTATGTTTTTTTTAAGTTAGCGGGCAAACGACTTCCAGCTTGTTTTCAATTTTCCTAATGTAAATAAGCAGCTGTATAGTAAGTGATTCAATCATCTGATTATACTATCGATAAGTCGACATATTGAAAATAATGTAGACTAACAATTATAATAGCTAAAACTCTAAAACCTATTCTAATAAATCAATCAATAAATAATTTTGATCCATGTGATTACCGGTACTTACAATGGACATTCACTACTGTTTACAACAGCTTTTACTCCCTAGGGACTAAAAAGGCTGTTCACTCCATAGTGCAAATGCTACCTACTTTTACTAGCAATCTCATGTATTAAAACGGTTGTTTATGTTAGTATACAAGCGTCTTTGAGGTAAATCTTAGCCACATGCCGATGAGATTCCAGCTCACAATCCTGTTGGGAACATTTAAACTCTCTAGACTTCGTTTGGAAAAACTGTGTGTTTTTATCATAATTCGAATACCTAAAAATGTTAGTGTAGGTAATCAAAGTTTTACTGTGATATTGTAACCGACCATGAAAAAGTCAGTATTTTTATGGATCTAAACTTGGCTCAGCTGGGGGGATTTAGCTAACTCAAAATTAGCATTGTGTATGCTAAAGCAGCGTTAATAGGATTTTAAACCAATCAGCAAACAACATTTGTAAATTCTCTACACTCCTACATTCCAGGGAAGTCCTGTAGTTTTTATCCGTGTTTCCTCGCGCCGTTTCGTGAATGGCCCAGTTTTCCCGGGAATTAGTTTTCCGAACGCGTGGGAGGGAGGGACAGTGTCAGTCGACCTAACTGTTTCTCTCTGTCCTTCAGCATGGACTATTTGTGAATGGCACGTTCCTCATTCTGAATGCTTTCTGCCATCGCTGGCAAGGATTTGTTCTGTCTTATTTTTTCGGAGACAAGACAACACTAGCACCGTTATAATAACTTAGAACAGTTTTGTGTTAAGCACTCTGTTTGGAATGATTTTATTTGTTGTTTTTTTTGTGACGTGTGTAGTTATTGTATTTACTTTCAATGTTGATTGCATGATATATTATGATTTTTTGAAAATTCCTCTCGCTGCCCACTCCCTCATATTCTTCGAATTCCAACACCAACGGATTTTGTGATTTGTGATTGTCTCTGAACTAGGTTTGAAGGTTCACTCTTTTGGGTTTCCCGATTTACTTATACTATCTTTGGGGGTTTTATACGTATAAAAAAGGTTGCAAAACCTCCTACAACGATCATCAAAATAATTTTTACTGAAATGTAACCTATATCTTCAAGCTGTAGCTTATCCCGCATCACGGTATACGAGACTGACAGGAAACCTAATCACGCTCTGCAGACGTTGACACGTGATTTATAAACCCAAAAAGTTTTATTTGTATTGCTAAAGATACGTCTTATGAGAATAGTTCGAAATTAGGCAAAACTTGTCGTGATCATTATGCTTTGATTAATGTCCCAGGTTAAATAAACATTCTTATCTAATTTAAAATTATTTCTTGTAATAGCTGTCTAGTATGAGCTTTCCAGTAGCGTACACTTTTGCAATGTGCACGCCTATGCTGATGACTGTCAGTTGCATTTATCCTATGATGTCAATTCAATTGACCAGGCTGTTGCGAGGGTAAACTCAGATTTGGCGAACGTCAGTGAGTGGTCAATGAGCAATGGTCTCAAGTTAAATGGAGAAAAATGCACAGTTCTCCACATTGCTCCACCCAATGTTGTCCAAAGGATAATTGATAGAGACGTGCAGGCTTGATCAGAGGGATTTGAAGGTGTGCCACACTGCTAAGACTTTGGGTGTGATACTGGACAATGGTCTTACTTTTTCTGATCACATCACTCATGTTTCCCAGCTGGCGTTGGGTAGACTGCGGGGTCTGTACAAATGCCGAACCATCCTACCTGTGTCAGCTAAGATTCAGTTGATTCAATCCATTGTATTGTCAGTGCTGTACTATTGTTTTCCTGCATACGGCAATAGTATCACAAAGGAGGACATGGGCAGGCTCCAAAGACTGCAGAACACTGCAGTGAGATTTGTATATGGTCTTCGGAAACGAGACCATATTTCTCAATTTGAAAGAACTGCTGGCTTCTTGTCTTCAACTGCGGTGTGCAGGAGGCAAACCTGCACTCTGGTACACAGGGTACTGGCCGAAGAGGAACCAGCGTACCTAATTGAAAGACTGGTCACCCGCGATCGGGTGTCTCAGCGCAATACCCGACAAGACAAAAAGCTTAATTTCCCGAAGGTGAGGTTGAAATTAGGATGAAAGAGAGGTTTTTCGTACTTTGGGCCTAAAATGTACAATGACCTCCCCTGTGACCTGAAGATGCTGGGTGTGCCAGCTTTTAGATCTAGGTTAAAGAAAATGTATTTTTGTAAATAGCTAAAATCTTGTAAATAGGGGGATCAGTATTTTGTTTTGTCTTTAGTTTTAAGTTAGGATTAGTTAATTGACTAGAGTCGTCCTGTAAAACAGTTTGTAGGCCTACTGAGGAGCGCTTGCTAATAAAAGGCATTTTTATTTATTATTTATTTTTTTGTGGTATCACGTTATGCTACACGCAGAAGGGTCAATACCAAGTTATGCCACAACATATTAACAGCTACGCGCATTCTACACCGACGAACGCGGCATTGCGTGCGTGTGTGTGTGTATTGAATTGTTGTGACAGTGTGTGCGCATTCCTGCCTCATCTCTCGCACGCGCGTCACGGCTATACTCGAATTATTATAACTTGGTGCCTGTTCTTATCCGCTTGCGAGTGGTGACTACGGCTAATTTAACACAATTACATCGAACAACGGGGATATGGAAGTATTATGTCATGGGGGGGGATTGAATTGTGAATTACTTTTGTTCGTGTATTGTGTCACCTCGGATTCTATCGATAAATCATTGTTATACTGGCACTAACCATTATTTATCCTTTTGGCCCTAAACAATTTTGTTTTATTGGGAGTTCTGACTGTTGAAGTGCTTGCTGGGACAGGCGATTAGACCTGAAAGGCCAATTTTTTACCGTCTATGGATAATAGTATATTAGGCCTATTTATCACCGCGCAAAACATTCACGAAACTGCAAAACTAGTTAAAATGATATTACACGTTTGTTTGAAGTGTGTTACGCTATATATTCTGCCACTACGACAAAGTGCTAGAGTTTTCGAACCTTCAGCTTCAATGCAGAGATTCAATGCATTAAATTGTCATACTGTACAGAGAGAGTGGCGATTAAACTGTAAGTTTATTAAAATATGTAACTCCTATGAAGTTTTAAGCTTTACCTATCATTTCATCA